TTTTCACCGGACAGGCCCCATGGTAGGCATTTATAATAGTTGTGCTTAAGGCAGCATCAGCTATTTCTAAATCATGAATATTTTTTATCGTATGTTTATTACTGCCTAGATTGGCCTTGAGTTCGTCAGTATAAAGATCCCATTCTGTGGCCCTAGGCACCCTATACGGTTCTCTTACTTTCATATTTAGATCAATTTCAAATCTTATCTGACGATGATCAGACATGGATGTTTCTGCTGAAACATTCCAGTTTTTGATAAAATGTTTTATAAATTGTGTTGCTAGGGTGATGTCTAATACCTCTTCCCTGATTCTGTTTATAAAAGTGGGCTTATTGCCCGTATTCAAAATATATAGGTTGTTACCAGTTATAAATTCAAATAGACACTCACCTCTTTTATTGATGTCGGTGCTGCCCCAGATCGTGTGGTGTGCATTAGCGTCACTTCCAACGATGAGTTGCCTCTTGCTTTTAACACTGTAGTCTACTAGTCCTTTCAGTGATAGGAAGTCCAGGTCTTGGGAGTCTCCAGGTAGGTAAGATGAGCAGACAATGAGCTCTGTCTTACTTACTGGGGTGTCCACAGAAATTATAGCTGCTACCTGGTCCTTGTTGGTGTGCTGTGGAATAATGAAAGCATTAATGTCATCTCTTACCACAATACAAGCACGAGGTCGACCATGGCTGGCATGATCGTACAGTAGCTTACCTTTTATTCCCTTTATCTGGTTCTCATATACATATGGCTCCTGGATAAAGGCTAGGTCAATCTTTTCAGATAGAAGTCGCTGTGTCAACACCGCCGTAGCAGCTTTGGCGTGTTGAAGATTAACCTGCAGGCACCTCATCATTTTATTGGTATCGTCCTTTACCGTTCCGCATCCACTTGGGCAATTTTGTCCCATGAGTGGGTGCTTCCTGTCGAGGGGATCTTGAAGCTGGTTTCTTTGGCCCTTGCTTCTGGTCCTTTATGCTAGATACCGGTGTGCCACCCTGCTGTTTTGAGGTGCTGGGTCCGACTTCAGTTCGGGTGCTGTCCCGTGTGACCTTAACCGTCTCACTTGGCTTATCTGCCTGTGCTTTTGAGGTACTGGGTCTATCACCTGAAAGCGGCCTTTTGGATGGAGGCACCTGTTGCTTGACGTCACTGGGTTTCTCTGTCGTAAATGGCCTTTTTGTCGTCAGTTTCTTGGGTCCAGTTGGCTCTCCCTTCACACGTACGTGAATTTGTGTGAAGTTCAGATACAGCTTCCCTGCCTGACCGACTATCCAATTTTTGGATTTTTCGTCCACTGAGATCGTAACGGTTTCCCCACCATTCTTATCTTTCTCAGTCCTGAGAATTCTCCACGATGATGTGCAAATGCCACCATTTTGTTTTTTCCAATCGGGACATCAGAATTTCTGGTGGTAGCACAGCAGAGGGGGGAATAAATGTGATGCACACATAGGTTTTGGGCATCTCTTCGCCCTGAAACACTTTGAGAATAGCATCCGGGAATGGTTTGAGTTTTGGGACACAGGTGGTCAGCCAGTTCCTCGTTTCACCATTGCAGCATGTTAATGAGAGCCATCCGTCTCTGTTAACACTGGTGATGAAGCCGTAGACACTATTGTGCTTGGGAAGTTTGTCAATTTCTTCCAAGAGCTTCGATTTTATCAACTCCATTTGGTCACCAGTGAGATTCACCTCCGGATATTTCTCATGGGCGATAGCCACTTTGCAAGCATTGGCTACATCCCTGTAAGATGGAGTCGGTTTTAGCTGGTTTCCGGTAGAGCTAGATGTGTGTTGAGTGGCTTTTGGCTTTTTGGGCTGCGGGCGTTGTGTTTCTTCGGGAGATGTGTTATTAGATCTGCACCTTTTGCTGGTACTGGGTCTGTCACTTTCTCCTTCTGCTGCCAAGGAAGCTTTGTAGAGAGAGTATCGCTCTCTCTCTTTCTGCTTCGCAGTCTCCAAATCCAATCCATCCCTAATCATGGCCTTGATGCGTCTTTTCTAAGCCCCGGTGAAGTATTCCGCTTTCTTCCTGGTCTCTATGTTGCCGTCACCTGAGTTCACCATGCTCTGGGTATTAGCATTAGACGCACCGCCATCGTGGTCACCTGTGTCCATAGGACTCTGGGTGTCAATCACCGGAGAGGTGTTCCCACCGCTTGATACCATTGGTCTCTGAGCAGATGGGTTCAGATCATCCAGATCCTGAATCTTGAGAGATGCTTCAAGCCTCTTTTCAAGATTTCCTCCAACCTTCGTTGGCGAACGGAGTAGAGCTTCTTCCTCTGACTCTGTAATTATATTATTAATTGGTATATTTAGTTTATTATCCATATACAGTGTTTAATATAAGGGAAAGAACAGTCACCCAAAGCAGAGCCCCATACTTTGAGAAGGCATTAATTAAAACAGGAGAGTGCCCAGTATCCTGAGTTCATTACTAAAAGACTGGATGCACCCCTCCAGTCAAGCATCCTCGGCGTAACAGTCTACCTCAGATTTGGGGGTTTTTATAGGTATCGTACAAATTTGAAAGCTACACATATCAAAACAAATATTACTATAAATACGTACCCGGGAAGTTTTCTCTTTCCAGCCCGACAATCAGCAGTCCACCCTTGGCAGAGACATGACCATATCAAGAGCTTCCCATCAGCCTGAGAGATTGTCGCACTTACCCTTACGAGTCTGGCTGATAAGCTGGAACTTAGTGGACGGTCTTTACCGCCACCTACTCCCTGAGACGCTAGAGTATTGTTTAGCCATTCAGACTTTGCCAGCTTGCAAAAACAAAGAGCCTATCTACAAACTAACTACTACACGGACTACAAGGTTACAAACTACAAACTACAAACAACAAATTAACTACAAATTTATAACTAATTACTATCACTACAAACATAGATTACAAAACAACACATTCTACCTTAACCTACTGGTAGATCTTGGTTGCACTTCTTGCTCTAATCTCAATCAACATTCCAGTCAGTGACATCAGTGATAACACTGACTGAAATATTGATCAGAATAGCTCAAGTTGTATCTAAGCCCCTACACCACGACAAGGTGCCTACCACGTAGAGGTGCTTGTTGTGTTAGTATATTGTAGTATATTGGAAATAGTTAAACTACAATAACAAAACACTTTAAAAACAGTAATAGAATTCTGTCAGATTTTATTTATTATTAAATCGAAAAACATATTTTATTAAGCTTGAAACACAAGCCTATTTCAATGTGATATAATTAAATTCTAAAACAATTATCTATATAAATAAAATTGGCAATTTAGTAACACGATTTATAGTTTTTGATTACATATTAAAATGATTCTTAAAGCCTTATGCTGCATAAGGAAAAGAGTATCACAGTAAATAAATAAGCAAAATAATTTTTCTGATATATATGCATTGGTTTATATTCACCATTTTCATTTCAAATTTATTTTTGGTATTTGTTTCTAATTCGTGTTACAGTTATAGTTTATTTATTTCGAATATAGTAAAAAATACACATCTGCTGAGTTCAATTACGTATTTTAAAATACAACTCTGTGTGGATTTGCTTTGTTTGCATTAAAATTCAGAAATTCAAATTTCAAGCAGTTATTGTCGCGTCGTTGTAAGTGCAAGAAGGCTGGTGTAAGAAAAAGAAAAGAAAGAAATAGGAGAATTTCTAAAAGTTAATTCAATTGAAAAATATACTTCAATTGTTCTTGTTATATTTGTTATAAAAAGTATTAATTGTTTAAAAAATATTATAATTTTAATATTTACAAAATAAAATGGATCCTTTCACTCAGGCAAGTAGCAGAAATAATTTTTGTTATAAAAAAAATTCATTTTATTAATGCGCAAAATAAATTTATTTAAAATTGAATATTTTTATTAAAAACAGCGCATGCTTGAGAAAGCGGAACAGCGCAGTCGTGCCCTTGGTATAAGTAATGCTAGTAAATATCCGCTAGCAGATGCATCCTCGGACGTTATTGCCTCTAACGCATTAATGCCAAATCAGCTTAAAACAAATCAAAAGGAACGAATACAAAAACAACCACAACAGCCGCAGCAAAAAACTAGCGTAATATCTGCTTCAAGCATTGGCGGAAAAATAATTGAACGAATTCCTGCAGATGCTTCTAAAATTCCTCCAAACACCGTAGTAAACTTTTCCAATGTGAATAAGGAAAATGTAGATTTGGGAATAGAAATTAATATTATGACAAATAACGATGTAGAGGCAAGTATTGTTTTCACGCTAGGAAATTCTATTTATATAGATATCGAACTTGAAAAGTTGATAAATAATGTATTTTACAATTACTTTAATATATAGGTACAAGTTGAAGTAGAAGAACGGGATATAACAGATAGTGAAGAAGATTGTGAAGATAACAGTAAGCTACCAAAAGAAGCAATAAATCAACCTTTAGCCAAAATACGTGATACTTCACGTAATCGTTTGCAGAGGTTAGGTGCACTCTACTCGAACACTGATGATTTATCGTCTCCAATACATCGGACTGAAGCACAGTTTCATGCTGGTTCCTCTGATGATGCATGTTTAAATGACAGCCCCTCAAAATCGAAACAACGGTATGGTAGACTTGCAGCTTTAGCTAACTCTATAAACCAATGGGAAGATGATACACAGCATCATCATATAAATACAATTCCACCACCAAAACCTGATTTACCTAGTAGAAAACTTGCAGACACAGCTAAAAATTGTCAAAAAATAACACAATCGCAGGCAACAGTACCAAACCAAACTACTGAAGAAGTAAAACAAAATGACTCCTGTGATCGTATTAGCAGCAGTAAAACTAAACAGCTTAATTGGGATCCCAAGGTTATAAATTCACTTGAAGCACAAGGTTTTCAGAGACGAGAATCCACAACAACTAAGCTAGCTTACGATTATACAAACAAGGAATGTAATGTGAACCGAGAGAGAGACCTCGATAAACAACAAAAAGAACAAACAAAGTTATGCACTAATCCAGTTAATAATAATATATCTAAAAACTTAAAAAATACAGTAAATGAAGAATTAGAGAAACCAAAATTGGCAAACGTCAAACCTGGTTTAGTCTCAGGACGTGCCGCTGTTTTTGAGCATAAGGCCGCTACAGCAAATCAACAATTGCAGCGTCCACAGAAAGATCCTACCGAATTATCGCTAAAGGAACGTTTGCAACTGTTTGAAAGAAATAAAGGAGAAGCTCTTGTACCAAAAGCTGCGTTCGGAATGGCACCTTCTATTAGCAAGATATTGCAAGACAAAAAAGAGGAAGCAAAATGTAAGCAATATTTAAATTTATAACAATTAATTCATATATTTATTCAATGTACACATTAATATTAATATGTATTCAATTTTCTTATAATTTTTATGATCAACATTTAGCAATTACATCACATGCACAGATAGCACCACCGGTTTGCATTAAATCAAATGTTGGTGATTGTAAAGTACGTGACAAAGTAGCCGCGTTGGTGGCAAACGCTAAAACAATCTCAGAGTCTAAAATTAAAGCTGACATTTACAAACAACGTCAGGAAGATATGCAGATATTGGCGAATCGAGCTAATCAGCAGAAGGAATTGTTTGAAAAAAATATGGAAATCGAAAGCAATACAAAAACTGTGTCTGCAGGAGTACAATCAGAGTTTATAAAAAATAAAACTGCTGCTTTAATAGCAGCTAGTAGTGTTGTACGTCCGTCGCCACCTCCACCACCACCACCAATGCCTAAATTTGTTTCCAATCAATTAACAGCCAAACGAAGATCACGTAAGTGACTTATTCGAAGTTTACGATCAATCTATTTATATTTACACTTATATTGTTCTTAATTTTTTAAACAATTTGTTTTTTTTTTATATAATTTTATTTTATGTATATATAATAGTGTAAATGCAATTTTACATTTACTGTTTTCTATTTTTATAGCCGGAAATACAATTGACGATGAAAGTAAGCGTGCTAAGAAATCAAATGTGCCGCTTTTATCTTCACATAATATTGAAGCAGTTCAACCTAAGAATCAGTTATATCCTGCATTATCCGATTTGGAATCAAACGATTCAGAATCATATATAGACAACTGCTGTACGACTGCAACCGTTTCTGCGGGTGACGCTGCTGAGGATGATAATGAAAATGAAAGGTGGGCGAATCGTTGCTATTCCTGCTTATTATTTTTACTTTGTATAGAATAATTAATATTACATAAGTACTAATATCAAATTATGATACTTAATGGTTTAATAATGTACTTCATTTAAAAATATAAACCTGTGTACCTAAAAATTTAAGACTTATATTTATAAGAAATTTATCCAAATGTAGTAGTAAGAGTTTCACATAAAATTTAAGTATTTCTAAAAAATGAATTTTTGTTAAAATGTTTATGAATTGATTTTTATATTTTTGAATAAATTTTTATATATAACAATTAACAAATTTTTTTACTTATTATTTAGTTACGTGGAATCTGAGGAGGCTGAAGATAGCAGCGTTGGGATATGCGATGGTAGTTTGGGTAGAGAAATAATGCAAGTTGTAAAGCACAACGAACACAACAGCCACGAAAAACACGAACAAATGCAGTCGAGGAGTACTAAGGTAAGCACACATACTTTTCTTTAACACATATGTATACATATAAGTGATGTCTTATGCAAAGTAAGGGTTGATTATCACAAACATAGGAAATGATGTTATAAAATTATTGTGTACACTTTTGTGCCTGACCTTCAACATAAAAATGTTAAGTATTCCTGTTGTCAAAGCATATTTGATGTATACTGACTATATTTCAATAAAAAAAATATTTTTTTTTATTTCATTATTTACTATTTTATTAGTTATTAAATTAGAGGCATTAGAGGCTATAATAATTTATTAAATCTTAAACACTACAAACTGCAAATAAGACAATATAATATGGGTCTTGCAACAATAATATGAGTTTCGATGGATAAAATTTTGTATAATTGAAAATTTTGTATTATTTAATCTTATAGCAGCTATATTCATAATTATAATTTTTCACATTTCAGTATAAATCAAATTAATTTCAAATTGTGAACCTGGCTGGGCGGTACTTTTAAAAAAATTATATTTTTATAAAATATCTTATAGTATATAAAAACAAATATAAGTTTAAATAAAAAATATCACAGTTGTTATGTATATATTTTTATTTAACAGATATTTCGTTCTACTATATAATTTTTTTATAAAAAACACTACCTAAAGCTCGGCAAAACATACAGTTTAATATTATAATAATGCTGTACATTGTTATAAGCCAAAATTTAAAAATAAATATTGTTTTATTAAATATTTATTAAAAAACACTTTTACATAAACAATAATTTTTTGAGAAAATTATTATATAATTTGCAGGAAGTTCGTTATGCCGATAACGATTCATATTATTATGGAGGTGTTGACAGTTCAATAAATTCTTCGGAAGCTTCAGTGGGTGTTGATGATTACCTTGATGCTGCTTTGGATGAAAATGAAGACGGCGACGATGATTATTCACAAGAAAGTGAATATGATGAATGTAACCTAAGCTATGCATCTGGAAGAGTAAGAATATGCGATAAATATTTTTCTATGTCTGTTATTAAAATTACACATTCAATATTATAGAGTAAGGGCACTACAACATCTAACAGCTTTTCTTTTCGTAAAACCTCCTCAAAAAATATGCAATGGGAAACAATTCCAGAAGAAAACAGTGGCATACTATCAAATACAACTAAAAGTCAAGCAGATACAAGTGTAAATAGCAATTTTAAACAGCCCATAAAATCGGAATTAAGCATTAATCAAGAAGATGATAATATGGTAACTTTAGTGCATACAGTTAGTTTCTACCGTCGTCAGCAAAATGTAAGTAGTAAAAAAGAAATCTATTTTTAATCGAAACAATTAATTAAGTTTTTTTTTATAGAGCGCTAATTCAACACCTGTGCGTAAAATCTGCCGTGAACAGCAAGTACTGCGTTCAGCTATTGTGGACCATGGCAGCGCTGCTGCTAGGCTAAATTTTGATACACCACAAAAATTTAATGAAAATGAACTAAGCAAATTTGAACCTGATGATGGTGAGGTGCACACGGAGGATGAATTAGATAATGATGATTTAGTACAGGAAAAGATTAAAAAATTACTCGACGAAGTTTGTAAACAACAACAAGTGATTGCACAGACAAGTCAAGCGTTGAATTTATGTGCATCTACAATAGAATTTTCTGGTTCAGTGGAATCTGTGGAGGGTGAACGGCATTTATTGGTAGCAAGTAAGTTGTGTTAACGATATGACGATGTAAAATATATTTTAACTGTGTATACTTTAAAGCACATCGTAGACAAGCATGCTTAGATGAAGTGCAACGTTTGCGTGTTGAAAGAAGTTTGCGCCCATTAGGTGCACCTAAAGAAAAGGGTCGACTAACTGTAAAAGATATAACATTTCGATTGCGAGAAGATTATATGCGTAAATTGGCAGCAGGCACTATATCAGGTCATCATTTGCTATGTTTGCTAAAGTACAATGAACACGTTTTAGCCACAAAAACAGTGCAAACATTCCCTGGAGCATTGTCTGTACAATTTAATGATGTTTTGCATATGAATGATGTTTACGCTGATTTTAGGGTACGTAAATGGAATTTTAAAATTTTTTAAAATATTTGTTATTAAAATACTTATTATTGAAATATTTATTATTAAAATATTTATAATTAAAATATTGAATTATAATATACGTCTACAGATTACGTTGGAAATATATGGTATGACTGCCCATCATGAAGTTTTGGCGCACGAAGTAAAGTATCACATTAATATGAATAAGAAGTGTGGAATAAAAACTCCTAAAAAGAAGGGAGCTGAAAATGTACTTGTTTTGCCGCCACGTCAGAGTCCAGCAGGACCTAATGTGGTGCGCACACCGGCATTAGTACAATATGCATTCGCAATATTTTCTTTACGTGAAATTCAACGCACAGAGTGGACATTAACACAAGTATAATCATTTTTATTTTACTTTCTGTATAAATTATTAAAAAATATTTTTTTTTTTAATTCACGCATTAGGTGCTTGGTGTTAGTCCACTAGCTGGAGTTGTTAAAATGAAAGTAAATTGTGAACTTTCTGTAACTATAAAACATAAAGGATTTTTAACAATGTTTGAAGATGTCACTGGTTATGGAGCTTGGCATCGTCGTTGGGCATATTTAAATGGTACAGTGTTAAATTATTGGAAATATCCAGATGATGAAAAGAAAAAAGCACCTATGGGCACGATTGATTTATACACGTGCACATCTCAAAATGTGTCTGTTGCACCACGCGACATTTGTGCACGTCTTAATACATTACTACTTGAATGTCAGCGACCAGCAAAAGAAACGGACAAACAATCATTAATTATTGTGCCAAATGGACGTACAACTACTGTAAGACATTTGCTGTCGGCTGACACCAAAGAGGAACGGGAGGAATGGTGCGCTTATTTTAATAAAACATTGACATTGATACGCGCATGGGGACCACCGCAATAAAATCTTTGATATAAATATCCTTAATGCGAAAAAATTATCAATAATATTAGTAGAGTTCTTTTTTAAACCTTTTTTAAACGTATAATGTTAAAATGTACATTTTTGGCATTAAAAATGCCTTCGCTGTAATTTCCCTTATTAGAAATTATGTTCATGATAGTATTACTAACTATTTTATTATGTTTTGTTTTGACTTTGATAATAAGTCATTTTCGTTTTATTTTTTTAAATTTTAATATTTTATTTAAAAAAACCGGAATATTTTAAATTTTAATATATATTATTTATTTTTTATTTCCTTTATTATGATTTATATCAGTTGTAGAGTATCCTTTCACGGATACATACTCTTATATTTAGATATCACTACAAATTATGAAACAATATTTTATAAAAAAAATAACATTTAAATATATTAAACTGACTACTGCTTGTGAATTTTGCATTCAAAACAAGTTTTATATACTATAATATATATTATACAAGTAAAAGAAGTATAGACAAGTATTAAATATTTATGTAAAGAAACATTTTTAGAATAAAAGTATATATTTGTTAAATTTTTATTCTTTTTGTTTTCAATTACGTCTGCTCTGACATTGGGAAATATGAGGATTAAAAATTAAGTTTTAATATTAAAATGTTTATACAGAGGATTTTTCAGAAAGTTCGAAGTATAACCGGGCATTTGATTTGATGTTGTAAACCGAAGAGTGCTTCTGGTATTGTACTTGTTGGGAAGGACATTTGTCATGTCATGTTAAAGTTTTAAACGAACCGGTGGTATTGCATTTATTAAACAACATTACAAAATAGCTAATTAAGGAGTTACCAGTTGATTGTCATTGATGTATTTATAATCAAACTTGCGAAGATGAACCCTCCTGCAGAACTCAACATTGACCTGCTCCAACCTGGACAAGAATGAACCAGTCAACTTTCCAACTAGGGCGTAACCTGCTCAGCACTACTCACGGCATACTAGGAACATATGTTAACAAACTGGGTTTACCTATATTGACTTTTGCCGGGGTTATTGCTTAGCGGATGAGGAGGAAATTATACTTCATCTCATGTGTCTGTGTCTATCATTGGATGAGAAAATATACAAAATTTTCGGAGCTCCTTTTCAGGCTCCAAGCTGACAGCTGCCATGCTGCATAATTAGGGACTTGTCCAAGTTTACAGACTTGTCAGGTTGAATTACGTTTAGTTGAAAGCAGCTACTACTCCAACCTCTCATATAATCTTATAATTATTAAATTATTTATAGAAAA